ACACATCCTAACTCCTTCCCTTCTTCATTCCTACAGTCGTTCTATTAGCAATCCTAATGGCTTTGCCTTAACCTCCACTGCCACTACCTGGTCCAGGCCACCTGGATCATGGCAGCAGACTCCTCATCAGCTCCAGTTTCCACTTGTGTCCTGTGCTCTGTGGTTTATTCTCCATGCCATAGCCAGGGCTATTTTTTTTTTGTTTTTTTGGTAGAGAATAAAAAGTTTGAGAGCTCACTGTTTCAGAGGTCTTAGTCCATAGAAAGCTAGCTTCATTCCTCTGGGCTTCAGGTGAGGCAGAATATCATGGTGGAAGAGTGTAGTGGAGGGAAGCAGCTCACATGAAGATCAAGAAGCAGAGGGAAAGACTTTACTTACCATATACAAAATATATACACCAAAGCCGGGCCCCGAATGGCCACCTGCTCCAGCCACACCCTACCACCTTCAGCTACCACTCAGTTGATTTCTATCAGGGGATTAATTCACTGATTAGGTTAAAACTCTCCACCCAATCATTTCTCCTCTGAACCTTCTTGCATTGTCTCACATATCAGCTTTTGGAGACACCTCACATCCAAACCATAACATGGCCCCCAAAAGCTCACAATCATCTCACAATGCAAAATACATTTTGTCCATTTCCAAGAGTCACCACAGTCTCTGAGACTCAGGGCAAGCTTGCCTCATGAGCTCCTGTAAAAATCAAAAGCAATTACAAGTATCCAATATATAAAGGTACAGAGAAAACATTTCCATTCACAAAATTTGGGGCCAAGAAAGGGATAGGACCAAAGCCAGACTGAAATGCAGCTGGGCAAACAAGTCCTATAGTGCCACATCCAGCATCTGGGGCACATGGCATCGTGATGTTCTCTCCAAAGGGCTTGTGTAGCTCTGCCCGTGTGACCATGTTGGTTGCAGCCCAAGTGGCCTTTCTGTTGGCTTGTCTCTTCAATACCTGCAGCTTTCCTACAACGATGTCCCACATTACTGGTATTCTTAATCTTGGGGGTCTCCACTGCAACTTTGGCTTCCTCCTCAAATCTCCACACATCACTCTCAGAGGCTGCCTGCAGGGACTCAAACCCTGTTGCACTTTTCCAGGCCTCAAAGCCTAACTGAAATTTTGGTGGAAGCTTCCATGACCCCCTAATTCCAGCACCCTGCATTCCTGCAAATCCAGCACCATGTGGTTGATACCATGGTCTTCTGCCATCTTGAGCAGTAGCCAAGCCTCCAGGGACCCTGGCTGCAGCAGTCTTCTTGTACAAGAATAGAGTAAGTAAGCTACCCAGGCCCTCAGTAAGAGGGCCTGGGTAGCTTACTTACTGAGGGCCTGGGTAGCTGAGCATGTTGAAAAATCTTCCTAGGCCCTCTTGTACAAGAAAGGTATTCCACTGGTCTCAAGAGAATTTTTGCTTTTGCTTCCTTGAGTCTGAGATGGATATGATCTTGCCAATTCCTGAGATACTGTTAAGCCATCTTTCTTATCGTTTCTGGGCAAAGCCTTTAGCATTTTAGTGGTGGTAATGTTTTTAACAACTGCAGCTTTCTTGGCACCAGTTTTACTCCCACCTTTCAAGTCCATGTTTTTCAAGTCTTTCTGCTCCACTTTCTGCTATTGATTATCACAATAAATTCAGCTAAAAGCCACCAGCAATATCCATGCCACCACCTAAATGTTATGCAGCCTAGAAATTTCTTTTGCCAGATTAAGAAGTCTGTGGCTTTTAAAATCAGCCTCACAGAAAGTCTCAGGACACAGGTAAAATGCAGACAACTTCTCAGCCAGAAAATAATATGAAGGGCCTCTAGTCCATTTACCAATAATGTCCTCCTTTTCCTCTTAAACCCTCTTGAGCCCTGTCTTCACTGCCCACGGTCCTATTAGCATTCTGGTCTTCTGAGCTCCCACCAGAATCAGCCAGTAAGCTTAAACAACCTAAAGCATTTCCAGCTTGCACTACTAAACATCTCAAATTCCTCCTACCAATTCCAAAAAAGCTTAAAAAAATTCTGAACCACATGGTCAGGTTAGACACAGCAACGACCCCATTCCTGGTACTAATTTGTGTTTTATTCAGCTTTTTTTTTTTTTTTTTTTTGCTGCTGTGACTAAAATTGTAGAGGGTAAAAGTTTATTTGAGGGCTCATAGTTTCAGAGGTCTCAGTCCATAGAAGGCTGTCTTCATTTCTCAGGGCTTGAGGTGTGATAGAACATCATGGCAGAAGAGTATGGTGGAGGGAAGTGACTTGCAGGATGATCAGAAAGCAGCAGCTATTACGTTTCTGATTAAAACAATTCAAGCTTTGTCATTTCTTTGCTCAGTCTTCCAGTGGGTGTGTGTTTCTCATTGTGAAGTTTCCCCAGCAGCCCACTCAGCCCTGTGCAGTCAGTCTGTCTCCTTCTTGCTTCTGGGATGTCCCCGTCCTCGGCTCTCTGGCTCTTTTGCTCCAGCCCTCCCTTACGTTGCTTCCCTCTGCTGTGATGGCTTCCTTCCATATATTCAGGCTTATCCCTCATTCCTCAAGTTTTCTCAGGTGCCATTTTGTTGAATGAGTGAGTGGCATGAGAGGTTTCTGGTACCATTTGTAGTGTGTTGTAGGTGCTAAATAAGTGATAGCAATTACTTGACTCTCAAAATAGCATTGTGCAAGCCGGGTACTGTATCCCTGCGGCTCAGGAGACTAAGACAGGAGGATCGCGAGTTCAAAGCCAGCCTCCGCAATGGCAAGGCTCTTAGGAACTCAGTGAGACCCTGTCTCTAAATAAAATACAAAATAGGACTGGGGATGTGGCTCAGTGGTTGAGTGCCCCAGAGTTCAAAACACTGCCCCTGGTACAAAAAAACAAAACAAAAAAAAACATTGTGCAGAAGTAGCTATTTATTGTCCCTATTATTGTCCCTATTTTATAGTGGCAAAAACCTAGAGGTTAGGTAGCTCAAAACGGTGTCAAGCTTTCTTGATTGTCATCCAAGGGAAGGAATGTATTTCACATTTCAGCCGAACACAGGGTTACTACAAATTGCCAGTATAAAGCTAAGTCAATACCTGTGACATTATAAGCTTCTTTTTCTTCTGACCTTTGTAAAAGATGAGGTTTCTTTATATAAATAGTTGTGTGGTTCTTAAAGTGAGGCAGAAAATTAAAAGGAAGGGAAGGTGGTATCTGTCAAACAGTCACAAGTAGAAGAATGAAGTTTTACCATTGACTATGAAATGACAGCAGCATGGAGGGAAGGGAAATCTGGTACTCTGCCCCAGGACTGGTTTGCGGCCCAGCTGAAGTCATCCATCCTGGAAGCACAGCCTTACTTCTGAGTCAGCATGGTGCCAAGGAGTGAAAGTAGGAGTGACAGGTTGTGTGTGGCAACTCACAGACTGCTCTCTGCTGGCACTACAGAACCTGGGCCTGGGTTGACCAGCCAAGGCTGGCCCCCTGGAGCCAGGAGAGAACCTGTAGAGGTGCTGGGGCTGAGTGCGGTTCATCTGCAGAGTGCTCTCTCCAGAATGATGAGACTGTCACAAAGTTCTTAATTACTTTGGATCCATTCTGATAGTAAAAGTAAATGTCATGAGTGTGTGTGTGTGTGTGTGTGTGTGTGTGTGTGTTTATACTTATTTTATTTTTGGTGGTGCTGGGGATCAAGCCCAAAGCCTTGTGCATGCTGAACAGACACTCTTCCACTGAGCTATATCTCAGTCTCATAACAATATTTCAAAGAGAAAATGACATTATAAAACCAAAGAGATGAAGTGTTATGAAATTCACTTGAAGAATCGTGGGGAGCCCAGCATTGCCTCTGTAAGAATGCCTCTGTCTGCGTTGAGAGCACGAGAGAGTTAATCTGGACCCTTTTCTTTGATACTGAATTAAGTACCTATTTATCCTGCAATTCTTGAAAGTGAAGTGCATTAGTTGAGTACTTATTATGTTTTAGATGCTGGCTCCTGTCGTCTTTGCCACGTCCTTCAAGAGGAGGCAGCTTGACTCCTACTTCACATAAGGCATCCAGCAGATATGCCTGAGGACATTGGCTCACAGGGAGGAGCTGGCACCCAGAGCTCACAGTCACCCACCACACTCATCCACTTTTAGATTTGAAGGGAAATCCAGTGTGAAACCTCAGTTCAAATCCCTTAATTAAGTTTAGAATCAAACTAAAGTTTTCTTTTTTCCTTTTAAAATATTTTTTTTAGTTATAGATGGACACGATATCTTTATCTTATTTATTTATTTTTATGTGGTGCTGAGGATTGAACCCAGTGCCTCATAAATGTGAGGCAAGCGCTCAATCACTGAGCCACAATCCCAGCTCTAGGCTGAAGTTTTCTTGGTGGTACTGTTGAAAATCCCATTTGGTTAGAATAGTATTCAAGAGATTTCAAGGTAATTTGTGTTTTAAAAAAAAAAAGTTCCTAATCTTTAATGCTTCTAACCTTTGTTAAACACTTTGGTTTACTGCTAATTAGCCAAGATTTTTCTCTTTCCAAATCCTTACCCATTTTAAAAGTCTGACAGCACCTGTACTTTGCAACCCATTGGTACTAGTCCCATTACATACAATGTGCAATAATAAAATTGATTTAAAATTATAGACTTCAGAGGTTTTAGTCATTCATCCTTATTCTCCAAATTAATGAATAAAACCAAGCATCAGCTGAATGAGGATCCTGAGTAATAAACTTTAATTTATTAAAATTAAAGTATCACTTCCATATATACCTACCAAGTTTTAGCAGTCTTTGTCTAAAGTATAGTCTTGAGTTCCTAAAATTCTCCAGTTGTAATGACTGATGATCTTTCTCCACCAGGAAACAGTGTTGTATATTTTTACTGTCATTTAAGTAAAGTTATTCAGAAAGCTTCTGTCAGCCCACTCTGCTGAACACTGGCGCCTGTGGAAAGACAGCTGGCTCTGCCTGCCCTGGTGAGTCTTTAACCTCAGTTTTGGAGATAATTCTACTTTCTGTTTTTCAGAGAAGCCCGAGCTATGGAGGGGTTGCTGCACTACATTAACCCAGCGCATGCCATCTCTCTGCTCAGCGCTCTCAACGAAGAGCGCCTCAAGGGGCAGCTGTGTGATGTGCTCCTGATTGTTGGAGACCAGAAGTTCCGAGCTCATAAGAATGTCTTGGCTGCCAGCAGTGAGTACTTTCAGAGTTTATTCACAAATAAGGAAAATGAGTCGCAGACTGTCTTTCAGCTGGACTTCTGCGAACCAGACGCCTTTGACAATGTGCTGAACTACATCTATTCCTCGTCCCTGTTTGTGGAAAAGAGCAGCCTTGCCGCTGTGCAGGAGCTGGGCTACAGCCTGGGGATCTCCTTCCTGACCAACATTGTCTCCAAAGCCCCACAGGCCCCCTTCCCAGCCTGTCCTACTAGAAAAAGAGTGTCCATAGAGGATGAAGAGACCAGTTCTCAAAAGAGAAGTGTCATCGTGTGTCAGAGTAGAAGTGAAACACAAGGGAAAGCTGCTGGTCAGAATCCACCTGATCTGAGCCATGCTTCCCGGCCCTCACCAAGTATTGCAGCCAAGACCAGTACCAATAAACCGGCTCCGAAGCCAACAGAACCACTTCACAATCTGTCATTAACTGAAAAGAGCTGGCCAAAAGAGAGTAATGCAGGGTTTTCAAAGTCTCTTGAGCATTCTGGGTCTTTGGATGACCCCAGTAAAAGCACCTTGGTGAAGAGGAATGCAGTGCTGCCCTCGAAGTCTCTGCAGGACAGAGACACCGTGGACGATAAGCCAGGGGTGAGTGGTCAGCTTCCCAAGGGAAGAGCTATAGAGCTGGCCTTGACAAGACCACGGCCGCCTGTTTTGTCTCTCCGCAGCTCATCAGAGACTCCCTATCTCTTAAAAGAAAGTAACAAAGGAAGTGGTCAAGGTGAAGATAGGAACTTGTTGTACTACTCCAAGTTAGGCTTAGTAGTCCCGTCCAGTGGGTCTGGTTCTGGAAACCAAAGCATTGACAGAAGTGGCCCACTTGTTAAGAGCCTCCTCAGACGGTCATTGTCAATGGATAGCCAGGTTCCTGTCTACTCACCCTCCATAGATTTGAAATCTTCCCAGGGATCTTCTGCAGTGTCCAGTGATGCACCGGGAAATGTGTTTTGTGCTTTATCGCAAAAATCATCTTTAAAAGATTGTAGTGAAAAAACAACCCTGGATGACAGGCCTCAAGTGCTACAACCACATCGCCTCAGGTCCTTCAGTGCTTCACAGTCCACAGACAGGGAGGGGGCCTCCCCGGTGACTGAGGTGCGCATTAAGACTGAGCCCAGCAGCCCACTGTCAGACCCTTCAGACATCATCCGCGTTACAGTAGGAGATGCAGCAGCAGCCACGAGAGACCTGCCTCTGAAAACAGAAGATGACCACAAGGACATGAGCAGGCTTCCAGCAAAGAGGAGGTTCCAGGCAGACAGAAGGTCACCCTTCAAGAAGGCAAAGGCAGACGAGCAGGGGCCTCTTGCATCAGAAGATAACTGTGAGGACAGCACAAACCCTCCCCTGGACAGAGATTTCCCAGATTCTGACTTGAACAAAGACGAATTTGGTGAGTTGGAGGGGACAAGACCAAACAAAAAATTTAAATGCAAACATTGCCTTAAGATCTTTAGATCAACAGCAGGTCTTCACCGCCATGTTAACATGTACCATAACCCAGAGAAGCCCTACGCTTGTGACATCTGTCACAAGAGGTTTCACACCAACTTCAAAGTGTGGACACACTGTCAGACCCAACACGGCATAGTGAAGAACCCATCACCAGCCTCTAGTTCCCACGCAGTTTTGGATGAGAAATTCCAAAGAAAGCTGATTGACATAGTGAGAGAGAGGGAGATTAAGAAGGCCCTGATCATTAAGCTGAGGCGCAGCAAGCCTGGCTTTCAGGGACAGAGTAGCTCCCCAGCACAGCAAGTCATCAAGAGGAACTTGCGCTCTCGAGCCAAAGGAGCTTACATTTGTACTTACTGTGGAAAGGCGTACCGTTTTCTCTCTCAGTTTAAGCAGCACATAAAAATGCACCCCGGAGAAAGACCCCTCGGAGTAAATAAAGTTGCTAAGCCAAAAGAGCATGCTCCTCTAGCAAGCGCAGTAGAGAGCAAAGAGGTTTACCCGTGCCGCCTCTGTAATGCTAAGCTCTCTTCTCTTCTAGAGCAAGGCAACCATGAGCGCCTATGCCGGAACGCCACCGTTTGCCCTTACTGCAGCCTCAGGTTCTTCTCGCCCGCGCTGAAGCAGGAGCATGAGGACAGGTGTGAGTATAAGAAGCTGACCTGCCTCGAGTGCATGCGCACCTTCAAGTCCTCCTTCAGCATCTGGCGGCACCAGGTGGAAGTGCACAACCAGAACAGCATGGCCCCCACTGAGAATGTCTCCCCGCCAGCTCTGGAGCACAATGGTGAAGTAACAGCTGCTTCTAGGCCCCAGCCCCAGCCGGAGCCTAATAAGGTAAATCACATCACTACACCAAAAGACGATAACGCATTCAGTGACTCTTCAGAGCAAGTGAACTTTGACTCAGAGGATTCCTCCTGTCTCCCTGAAGACCTTAGTCTTTCCAAACAACTGAAAATCCAGGTCAAAGAGGAGCCTGTGGAGGAGGCTGAGGAGGAGGTGCCCGAGGCCAGCGCAGCCCCTAAGGAAGCAGGCCCCAGCAAGGAGGCCAGCGTGTGGCCCTGTGAGAAGTGTGGGAAGGTGTTCCCAGCCCACAAGCAGCTGGAGCGACACCAGGAGCTGCTGTGCTCAGTGAAGCCCTTTATCTGCCACGTGTGCCACAAAGCCTTTCGCACCAATTTCCGGCTCTGGAGTCACTTCCAGTCCCACATGTCTCAGGCCACAGAAGAGACGGCACATAAAGAGGCAGAGGTATGCCCCGTCCCCACAAACTCCCCCTCGCCACCGCCTCTGCCACCACCGCCACCCCTGCCTAAGATCCAGCCTCTGGAACCTGACAGCCCCACTAGCCTGCCTGAAAACCCCACCCTGGCCACAGAGAAACTGTTTGCACCCCAGGAGTCGGACACTCTTTTCTACCATGCCCCGCCCCTTTCAGCAATCACATTTAAAAGACAATTTATGTGTAAGCTCTGCCACAGGACATTCAAAACAGCCTTCAGTCTCTGGAGTCACGAACAGACACACAATTGAGAGACCCACACTTACCCGATATGAAATGGGAGGCCCCTCAATTGTGAACTGTCCTAAGAAACAAAATATTTTTTAAAAAATAATAATAAAGGTTGGAAATTGTTATGCTTGAATTTAAGTTTGGGATAAAATGACATTATTTAGAAATGTCCTAACTCAACTTCAGAAATAAACTCTAAAATATTGTGATTCCAGACCTCACAGCAACAATGGGGTTTGATTTCGTTACTGTTGAAATTGGATTAATCTTGATGGATTGCACAATCCTCATTCCAAGGTGTCAGTATAATCATTTAATTGAGGTTTTTGGTTTTTTACTGATTTGTGATTAGTGGAATGCTGTCAGAGTATTCTTTCTTCTGATTATTTTAGACACCTAAGTTCTAGTTAAATCTTAGCCATGTTCTTAAGGCCAAAATGTATCAGGAAGAAGTGGAGTTGTTGGCAGTATTGATTTAGATCTTAGACACCTTAGCAATAAAAAATGATAAACCTCAACTTTAACAAGTTATCCTGGCACTTGATAAAAACAAATATTTGGTATTTTGTGGTCACGTAAGAACTTTCTTTTTCTATGAAAATTGTGAGAAATTTAAATCAGCAATAGTCACACTTAGATTTTTACAGAATAATGAAAACTTGCTCTCTGTCACTTAGTATATCAAATAACGGTCATGCTCCAAGGAAGACACAGAAATGAAAATACAATTCACAGGAGTCCACGCTTTCCAGAGCTTCAGCTGCAACAGGCGTGTCATAGAGACCTCTGTATCACAGTCTAAATCAGACCTGCGTTGAAAGGACTGTGCATGTTTGGTTTCCTCCAATTTATGTTGTCACAGATTGAAAGTCTGAGTATAATTGGAACAAAATGCAAAGCTGACATGGTACTCATTCTGAATTCAACATTAGTGTGACAGGTGGGTGAGGACAAGTGTGTAGACAGATCCTACCACTAGGAACCAGTACAGCCACTCTACTATGTTCTGAACCACCACTTCCTTCTAGAGACCTCAGCAGAGGAGGAAGCCCCACCTTGTTCTTCCCAGGAACAATGTGTATGATACACCATTCTCCTGCCTCTCTGTCTCTTATGAAGACTTCTGTTAGGATGAGTTGGAGTTTATAGTGGTTAAAATAGCAGTAATAGAACCATCTGCTCTAGGCCACTACTTAATATTCAAACATATGTGTCAAAGCACTTATAAAGGGTCCAAAACTGATTTTTTGCTACTTATTTTGGTAATAGGGTTTGGGCTTTTGTTGTTGTTGTTGTTCTTTTCCTATTTTGTGACAGTTGTAATTAAAAGCCTTTTAGTAAGTGTTATCCAAAGTTCATTCAGGTGTTTCAGAAGGGAAAATTTTTATTTCACTTTTGTGGGGAGGGTTACATATATAAAAGAAATATTACTGAAACCACGAAATCCTTTGTAGGTAGTGATACGGATTAAGACTCCAAGTTTATACCTTTTTTAAACTAGGTATTCTTTCAAATTAGAAAAGTCAACTATGATGACTGAGAAATAGTTTTCAATTTGTGCTCTAATAGAAGAGAACTCCACCTATCAGTCTCATCATTAACATTCCATATCAATAGTGGGGGAGATATTCTTTTTATTGAAACAGTCATTTTTATAAAATACTAATTGACTTTGTATATTACAGAAATTATATATGAAAATTTGCCTTTTATCCTTTCACTTGAAAAAGCTATTAAAAAATCCCCAAATATTTTAGTAGTTATTTCTATTTTGTTTTCAAATTTGATGAAGAAAGGAAAATAAAATTAGGTTGCAGTTACTGATTCTTGCCATCTTTATATTTTCTTGAAGAAATCTATGCATTTTACAGATGAAACTAAAGCATATGACCTTTAATGAAAGAGACATCATGGTGGATTATCGCATATGGAATTCATTCCCTGTTAATGTGGTCATTCTTACTCTGAGCACTAGCTGCCACTTCAGGAGAAGACAGTTGCCCTGACACCTACATGACTGTTGGCATATCTGTGATAACTCCACGATACAGAATGGTCTTGGCATTGCAGATTCAGTGTCCCAGGACTTGAACCTTTATGCTACATTTTTGAAGATTTTTTAAATAATACTGTTAATCAGTAAAAAAAATATTTTTAATCTCAATATAGGCTCTGCATATCTGTTAGATTTTAAAAATTAACCAGTGTTTTGTCTTGGTCACATTTTTTTTGTCTAGGCAAGAAGTATAAGATTTCAAATAAAAATTTGAACCAAAAAACATTTATAATGCAGTTCTGGATTTTCTATTACTTTTTATAATGTACCTTAAAAGCATTAGGCTGAAAGAGTTTATTTTGGTGGTCAGAAACAACAACAACAAAAAAATGCTTCCACTCATGTAACTATTTTAAATGTTAAGAAGTAAAATAATGAAAGACACATTAATCGCTTTATTCAGTAAACAGTTTTTTAAAGAATGTTTATCTCAGCCAGTAGGCAAATATTTGGTGTAATAAATTGGTCTTTCATCGTTGCAACTCCTTTAGATGGTAAAGATATTCTTGTAAATGTTTTTTCTGATTGTAATTAATTTTTGAAAATGTAGAAAACTCATTTATTCCTTGTAAGTATTCAGGATGCCTGCTTTTTTACGCAGTGTGGAAAGAATGTAAAATGTTTTAATATATTCTTTGTTAATCTGAGAACTTGTTATTGAATCCTTTTATGTGAGGTAAGGAGGGAGTAACATAAAAGTGTTTTTTTTTTATCAAGAGTAAGCAATGGAGGTAACAAATATTGTGCATTTTATAGTAATATTTCAAGATCAATAGAATATTCATGCTTAAGACTAGTTGGTATGCATTTATAATTTTACCAAAATGTTCAACTAGCAGTTCACTAATGGATGTTTTTGGCATTTGTGGGGAGATGTATGTTGTTCCTGTTTCTGTTTGGAATGGGTCATATAGCCTTCTCTCTGTAAAAATTTGTCCAACACTTAATTGGTTATCACCTAAATCCACACAAAGCCCCTATTGGTGCTAATGAGAGTAGCAGCTATGGGGCAAGAATGGAATGTGCCCTTCCCTGGAGTCCCGGGTGGCTGTATCTCCTGCCTGGCTGAATAGTCAGGGTGTGGAAGAGACAGAACAGACTTGAAGTTGGCCTTTGTTCCCTCAGATTGGGTTCTTGGGTGCATACACACCTGTGTAACTATAATTCAGAACTACAAAAAGAAAAAAAAATTTAATTTTCTTATATATAAATAATTAGGTGTCACTCCTAACAGATTTCTTGATAAATTTCATTCAATTAGCTATTGGAATATTACAAGTCAGTTTGTCAGTTTTCTGATATCTCATTGGTGTTTTTTTAATAAACATTGATTTAAATAATGATAATACACATTCTTTAATAAGTTCAAACACTGGCTACTAAGCTTTTTAAAGTTTTAGAAATACATTTTCCTCTTGTGGCTCTAGCACTTTAAGAAGTTTGATGTTTGCGTGATTTCGAATGGGCTCTTTCAGTGTTTACCAGGGAGTGCTGCAACCTAGGGCATTTCCATACCACAGGAAGAAACTCAGTGTTTAGATTCTGGAGGAGAAAGAGTGAACATCAGGTATTTCAAAAATTCCTTTCAGAGACAGGCTTTGGGGAACCAAAGCATTTTACTGTAAATCTTTACAATAATTGAATCAGAATTCTTTAGTCATTTGTTTGTACCATCTGAACTTCCATAGTTATTCTTGGTTAATACTAATTCTCAAAAGGTGGATAATTTGTTACTGACAAATACAAAACTGTCTCACAGTTTGCATTGAATATATGCTTATTTTGTTTAAAGAAAAATGAATAAGTGGTTTTGTAATATGTTTTTGTCGTTAGGCTTTGGAGTAAATCACTTTTTTTAGGAATAAGCTTTTTTGGACTGAAAATTCATAGTATAATAGAATATCTAATGTTAATCCATTGCTTACTTGTACCTAATTATATTGTCTGTTCACTTTGCTTAAATCTTAACTAAGAATGATTGGAGTCAATAAATTTGTACTGTATTTTGCTTTGAGTCATGATTTCGTTACGTTTTGCACTTTGATGGTAATGATTAGTAGCATTTGCATTTATGAAAGTAAGGAGAAAGGCCTCCTGTTTGGATAATATGGATGTCCACTTAAGACTTATGGGAGATATTTGGTTTTCCCCAGTTCGTGGTTTCTTATAGAATCAAGTTTGTATTAAATATATGGTAATTAAAACTAGATAAGCAGCTACCTTGCTTGTCCACCTTTTTCATTTCTATTCAAAGTAGTAGCTTTTAATTCACCTTTTCCTTTACTTTCAAAGTAATATTATTAAGGTGAATGTGAGGGGATATGAATACCTAAAAAGAAAGTGCCGTGCACTTTGCATTGGTTCTTCAGCACGGCAATTGATAGGCTGGCTCTCTTTCCTAACCTAAGGCTTCCAGCATTGTATTTTTCATTCTAGCAAGGCTTTTTGGTAACATGGGATGCGGCCTCTCTTTTTATTTTTATATTAGTTTTCCCGTAACAGGAGAGTGGAGCTGTAGGTATTTCACCAGGTTGACTTGAAGACAAGGCACTAGAGCCAAGGGAAGAGGTGCTCGTGGGCTAATGGATGCAAGCCCCTGTGCCATGGCTCTCACCTCCTTGTTTTCCTTTGTTGATATCCAAATTGGCCTATTTTGGAACGGCTGCCTAAAAGTGTCTTGAACACACTACAGGGACAACGATTTTTAATTTTCACCCTTTAACCTGCTGTTCAATTAGCCACTGAATGGATATCATTTTGTTTTAAAAAGTTTCCTTTTCTCTTAGAAATAATATCTTTGGGAGGTTTGAGTTTGTCGCACTCGTGTCTCATCTTCCTAGGTTATCAGCACACACTCATGACAGTAAATGCCGTAGTGACAAAGCCACAACCCCAATGTTTGGGACTTTCTCCTGCCCGAGGCTGAATCTTGGCTCAGTTCTTGATGAACTAAGATAGGTGGGTGGCAGGTCTTGCTCGGGCATGGCAGATGCTGGAGAGGAGGATTCTTGTGTGATACAAACACCGTAGCATGAATTCAAGTGTCAGTTGGCTATGGCCCACATCT